TAAGAATTAGTAAAGTAAATAAACAAATCCAACTTGAATTTAAAAATCAAATTGATTTAAATTAAGTACTTTCCTAAAATAGGTGAACTAAATTAGGAAAGAATTTTAGAATTTCAAATTTAGATAACTTGAATTTCAAATTAATTCCAAATTGCATTCACCCAAATTAAGAAACCCAAGGATGAGTGGAAAGAGGTGAGGCCAGCGGCTAGGGCTAGAGCCTGCGAGAGAGGGAGGGATTGGTGAGGGGAGAATTGGGTGGTGGAAGATTAGATGGTCGATCAGCAAGGAGGATGGGGCCTTGGTCAACGGCTAGGTGGTGGGAGATGGGGGTTGAGGGAAGACGAATATAGGAAACCACGAACCCGCCCGTCTCCAAGGTTGGTGGGTGATGCGCCAATCTCCCTCTCCAAGGGGTCTCTCTCCGATCTCTCAAGCTCTCTCAAGAATTCCAACAAGAAAACAAAATTCTCAAATAATCATTCATTAAACTCAAAAAAAAAATAGGGAGGGCTATAATAAAGCCTCATACAAAGGACTCAAAGACAAAAGACACTAATGCCCCCTTGGGTTTACATACGACATCCCTTCAGGGTACAATGGGAAACTAAAGAAAACAAATAATATACAACAACATAATTAAGAAAATACATAGGATAAATCAAAAATACAATGACTCAATCGTGGTCATAGATCGGCGGCCACACCTTTGATAAACCTTCCATGATTTGATGTCCCCATCATATACCCTACCAACCGGGTTATCAGAAGGCCGACGTTTTATGTGACCAAATCATCTAAGGCGACTTTCTAATATTATTATCTGCCACTGGAGCAACTCCACCCTTTCCACATATATGCTCATTTTGCATTCTATCTCTAAGAGTAAAGCAACTCATCCATATTAGCATCCTCATCTCTGCAACACTAATGGCCAACATTTTGTGCCATAAAATAGTGCAGGCCTCACCACCATCTTATAGAAATTTCACTTAAGTTTGAGGGATATTTTTCTATCACACAACAGACCAGATGCCTTCCTCCACTTCAACCATCTAACTTGAATTATACTAATAATATCTCCATCTTTTACTACCTCAGCCTGCCTCAAATTATTGTTGCAGATCAGATCCGGAAACTTCATTTCATCACTTCTTTGATTAGCACAAGTAGTTTCAGATAAAGACTTCTCCCCTGAAAAAATTTCTAATGGGGTCACCAAGTGAGTAGTTTTTCCAACTAACTTGAACATTAAGTGAGAGTTCCGAATCATAGATATATCACTCGGACTAGTTTTCAAGTTACCCCCTCCAAGGTTTTCATTCATCAAAGAAATATCATGCATGTTTCCAGCCCCATCAAGTTCTCCCTGTTCAGCGTGATGATCAACAACTTCCTGGTAAACATGATGCTCCCCTAGTGATTGTCCATGTTCTAGACCTTTTGATACACCTTTGGAGCCTGAAAGTCTGCCCGAGAGGCCTAAATCTAAAGGACCAGGAGATGAAGTGGCCTGTAAATTAACAGTGCCAACAGTTGGAAGCGGAGGAGAAGGGCGAATATCAGTATTTGATGAAGACAACTCAGAATTATTGTTAGCTTCTGAAGATATAAAAGTTGGAGAATAGACAAATAGGATCTCAGAGTTACTTGCACCAACAAAAAGCATGAGTGAAGCACCTGCGGATGGAATATCACTAGGAACACGAGAAAGCTCAGATGCAGAAAACTCTTCTGAATAAATTACATTATAAATTTGTGAATTACAAGGGTCTTTGGCCAATATAAGGTTATCAACACGTGGCAAACACTGTGCCAAACTCAAAGCATATTGTTGAATAGCCTGTGTTTGGACGCAATAAACTTGAACCACATGTTCACCATCAGGAAAGATATCACTTGTTCTAGTGAGGCTCAACATAGGCATTGTAACAGTAAAGTGGGCAATATAGTCCATGTATGTCGCAGCAGGATATGGACCATAATATATATGGACAGCATATATAGCATTTTTCTTGGCATTTGCAAGTAATATAAGGCTTTCTTGAGAAATAATAAGAACTTTAATTATAAATAAATAAATAAACTCCACTACCCGCTGTTCTGTTAAACTTCTTAATTCTTAAGTTTGATTGCATCGCCATGATTCAGAATCACTGGGTAACAACCAGCCCTCTTCAGCTGCTGAAGACCATAACTTCAATTCACGGTTCAATGGACCTGAAGTAAGAAGAAATATGTGATCAGGATGTTGGGGAAATGTCAAGAATAAAACCGAATGGACAGATTGGCCTTCATGTGGCCTCAATGTCACAACGGGCAGCATCTTACGATCATCCCAGATTTTTACCAGTTCTGTTTTATTTTTCATTTACAACTTTCTCCTTGTCGAGCAATTTATCATCAGAAGGAGCTTGTATATCACTTATTGAACTCTTGCACTTCTCCTCAATTATTTGCATTTTCAACTTTCTCACCCATGATCACCACCATTCCGATAACATCTTCCTCCTCCAGTGTAGTAGTTGTCGTGTTCCCTCCATGTTTCCCTCGTATATTGAGGGTGGGAATCTCGCCTTTCCTCCATTCACCTCCCCATGATCTAATCCCCATGGCTCAACTCGTCCACCTCCTTCTCCAATTGTCCACTCCCCTTGTCAAAACGGCATCCTACTTTGCTGTCATCTCCCCAAAAACCTCGCTCTGATTCCAATTTGATACGCGGAAGCAAAAACAACATATTAGAGAAGAAGAAATTGCATGAAGACAAGTATGGGAGTTGATTTTTTATTATTTCTTCAATAAGAAAGAAAGATATAAGTTATCTACTATTCAAGAGGTAGAACGGCTCTCCCACAAACCCTTGACGCCTCTAGGAACAACTCCAAAGAAAAACTACAACAAAGACCATCACATAATAGCATATCCTAAACCCTAGACAACTCCATCTTAAATAGCCCTAGAACACAAAATCATAAATAGAACATTCCTAATCAACATAAACATATTTAAGAAACCATCTTAAATAATTAGGATTTTCCTAAATAACATACACATGATTTAGAAAACCTTCATAATTAAAATCTCCCTAATTAAATCCTTCCTAACACACAATAACCATATTTAGAACATTCCTAATCATTAAAAATAATTTAGAAAACATTCCTAAATAATTAAACATAATTTAGAAAACCTTTTTAATTCCCTCCCAATCAAATCATCCCTCTTTCATAAATAAGCATTCGTAATCCCCCCTTCTCCCCCTTAAACATGATTTAGGAAACCTTCCTAATTAAAACCTCCCTAATTAAATTCTTCCTAACACACAATAACCATATTTAGAACCTTCCTAATTATTAAACATAACTAAGGAAATCTTTCTAATTTCCTCCCAATCAAATCAGCCCTCTTTCATAAATAAGCATTTCTAATTCCCCCCCTCTCTCTCTCACACGCTCTCTCTCTTTAAGCCCCTCTTTCTTCTTGGCCATCGTCCACTCTATTGGGGCCCACCAGCTCATTCGAGAGTCTATCAGAATTCAGGGAACAAATTTCCTAAATGGGGTTTAGTGTATTAGCCAAGAAAAACATTATCTTTGATTTTATATGCATGACCCTAAATTCTGACAAAAACTAACATACTAATTGTTAACAAATTGTTAAGCCATTATGGTGACTTGGATCTTACATAGCCGAATTGATTCGTTATATATTGACAAGAAAGAGTAGTTTCCAGTAGATTGAAGGTTAGCCAAGTAGTTGAATAATAAATATCATAGTTAAGTAAATAGCGTACAATACTCACAAAGCTTAACAAGCAGTTCTCAATTGGAGTACTCACCCGTTTAACTAGGTTGTAGTAAAGTAAATTAAGCATAATTAAGAGGAAATAGACTAAGTAGTTCACACAAAAGAACCCAAGAGCAATCAGCGAAGTGCAGAGCCAACCTGTGATCACCACATTTCTTGTGGAAGATAACCTCAAGCTCGGACGAGTGACAAATGTTATCGCCAAAACAATTAGATTAACCCATTCACATTAATTAGGAGTTGTTTGGTTCCAAGTATTAAAAGCATAACATAAAAGAAATGTAATAGGTTCGATTTTTTTAGATTTGGTTTTAAGTAAACTAAATAAAAAGCATTTCTATAATGAATTTGGAAGGCCATAGAATGTCAATTTCTTATGACTTGGGAATTTTCCCAAATCAAGCAAATTCCTAATACATTAAAAACACGTAGCATTTTAATGAAAATGTCCTCGTTGTATTTTAATGCATTTAAATTAAATAATAACAATAACAAAAATACAAAAAAAAAAACTTTAATTCATTTGATTTGCAATCAATCAAACAACTCCATTTCAAAAATACATGTATTTCAGTCATTCGACCTTTATAAAATGCATGAATTTGAAAAACATCCAACTAAACATCCCTCAAGGGAGCTTACTTCTTAGCATAAAAGTTATTGTTCCATTACATTGGCAAGGAATGTGAGAGGCAACTGAAATTGAGATTTGAGCAAGCAAGAAAGAAACTTACAAAAAATTCATCAAAATTGTGTCAACCTTCAAGTGAGGAGTTCTAATCCATTAATTGCAGTGCTCTTATGTGTTAAGATTCATTTGTTGTTATTTGCACAATAATAGAGTAGTAAAATTCCTGCATTATCTTTTCATTGTGTTTCATTGTGGTGGCAGTTCAGATGCCAAATAGTAAGCTCTCTTCTACCATTATTTTTTATTTCCTTCTTTGGTGGAATAGGAACAGTTTACAAAAATTACACTGATGTATAACAACATTAATGAAAGAATAGGAGGTCCATTAGATTGCTCAAAGCTAACCTCATGCTCATATCAAGATAATAAAGTAACTATGTTCTATAATAAGCATAAAGATCAAAATTGCTAAAATAAATAAAAAAAGAAAAATTATGAAAAAGTGCTGTGAATTTTTTTTTTTTTTTTTTGAAAAGAAAACTTATAAAAAAGTGCTAACCAAAAAGACGAAGAAGATGTTCAGCCCCATATATAGATGATGGTGATATGTTATCATGGACTGCTTCTTGATATTGTTGGCGCTCCTTTTTGTACAAAAGCATGAGGGGCAATGCTTTGTCAAAATAGCATCGTATACCCTTTAGAATCTCCGCAACTGATTCAACAATCCTTTATCCATCGTTACCATAACAGATATAAGATGTGATTCAGAGAAACTAGAAACATAGAATTCAAACAAAAAATAATGATACTTTTAAGCAATATGTTTCATGCTATTGAGAACATAGGAGATAGGTAAGTGGTGGAAGGAAAGTAATAACGATGACCTCATGAAAAAAAACTTATTGCAATGTTATCAATTAGGAAAATTATGTGGGGTGGAAATCCAGTTTGAATGGACATACATGGAAAAAGAGGATTTACAAACTTGACACCAAACACTCGGGATAAGGATGGATGACATCCATGCCAATAGTACTGTGGTCAGTAATTTGAAAAGAATAGGCAGAGTTGTAATACAAATAAAAGAAGTAACAAAATTGCAGTTAGGAACAAATAAAAATCTCATGAAATTTATTAAGCCTGGTGATTGAAAATTGAGCCTCCAATAGCCATGTCAGCATATTGCAAAAACCACCAAGATAACAAGAATTATTAACGAAAAAATGTGCACAAGTATACACACAAAGTAGAACCTTGCATCAAATCCAAGTTCATAAAAGTTAATTGATGATTGGCTAATATTTAAGGCCTCAAGTCCCCTACGGAGAATTATATAGGAATTTAAATGGTTTAGCAACATCACAAAGCTTAAAGGAGCAGATAATAAAGCATGAAACAACACTTTGGTCAAGTAGATTAATTAATCAACAAGTAACCAACGAATCATCAAATTTCTCACACAATATTGCAATAAGAACACTAGATTACATAAAAAAGCATATTATAATCTCAACTCTCAATAGAAATTTATTTTCCACTTAATCCTATCTCATATTAAATTTTGAATTAGCCTATAGTGTAAGAGAGGGTAGCCATGTCCTAAAGGTTGTGAAAGTTAAGCATGCCCTAAAGGTTGTGAAAGTTAAGCATGTCCTAAAGGTTATGAAATTGAAAAACAAACCAAGATGCAAGAATCGATTTTATTTCTAAATTTGCACTAGTATGAATGCTTATAGCTTGCTTATATTAGCTTAACTTGAATTATTCCAGCAAAAATGTTGTCAAATGACATGGAATAATCCGCATTCCTGTTTCATTTATTTTTCTACTTCAATGGAGTGCTTATTAGTATATCCTGCTTGTGGAAGGGAAAACTAATTTCTCAGCAGCTACGACAAAAGTATGCAAGGTCTTGTGTCCCAAATTGATACAAACCAAGTGGAATAATCCTAAGAAGCCAATCTAGTAATGACAGAATTCTTCCACATTCACATTGAAAAAAACCCTTATAAAATCCTCTTTGGCATCATTCCTATCTCGGGTTACATATGCAAACTAGCCATAGATGTTTGTCAGTATGTATGATTTCTAACAATGCCATTAATCCTTTTGTGACATCAGATCTATCTTGGCCTTACATTTTCTTCATCTTAGATATTTCTTCCATTCTTACAGTGTACAGGCCACTACCACACTCAGATTTTAGACGTCAAAACATAAAAATAACAAATGATATGTAAAGCAGCGTATATCTGAACTTACATGCCATCCTTTTTAGTTCGATACTCAAGGTATTTCTTTAAAATATCATCAACATTTGGTGAACGAGGAAGCTTGACAAGCTGCACACATACAATCACAAGTCAAACTTTTATTGGCCGAATAAAAAAAGAACAGTGGTCCTGATGTGATACATGTATGAAAACAAGAATTGCTTTGCGAAATTAATAATAATTTGAACAAAACATTGCCAATTGTAAACTTTATGTTTCACCAAGTTAGATTCCTGAATTTTCAATTAGAAGTTATGCAATAGCATACGGTTACAAACGAGATTAAAAGGGTACTTGCAAATAACAACAAAATAAATAAGTAAAACTAACAACAACGAATAACAAAAATCCACGACTTAATAATTAGAAATGTTCACCCAGAGTTCCCTCACTCTCGCTCCTGAAAATGGTGTTTAGCGGAGAAAGATTAAATGTAACCCTAGTGATGCCACCACGAGACAAGTGACGCTTAAGGTATTGTTCGTCGGAGAAGTAGCCAGAGGAGGGGAAGTCAATGGCTGTCCGATGATTTGCCACTGTCCAGTAGGTCGTTGCTCGTCGATCGTCTCGACGAAATGATAGAGTATGCGATCTACGTAGCTTTCAACAGATTCTTCGAATTCCTAGTGGGGATCAAAGAAGGGCGACTGAAGGATGTAGATTTGTCCTTGGGAGTTATATGCAAATCTGTGGTCGACTTCAAGATCGGCCATTCATGGAGACGACGTTGGCTTTCTTGGACTTGATCCTTGAGAGAATTAGTGTTGGAGGAGAGAAGGGGAGTTTGGAGAAGATGGGAATTTCGGCTAGGGTTAGGAGGGGGTTACTCTTTGGAATTAGTAAGGAAAGTGGAGATGAATAGCTTTTGGAAAATCTGAATATTAATTTCAGATTTTCTAGAGAGGGAAGGATTAATTTTGAAATTCAAAATTATCCCTAAATTGGGCTAGGAGGGGCGGCGGTTTGGAGGGATTAAGTGGGAGAATTTAATTAGGGATTAGGGATTGGGGTTTAATTGGAGAGAGAATAGGGGAGAGAGGGGGCCGGCCATAAGGGGAGGGATGATAAGGCATCTAGGTTCAATGTATGTGGGCCAACGGTGTTAATTGAAGATTAGAATCAAATCTGAAATTTGATTTCATATTTGATTAAATTATGGAGGCTTCCTAATTGGGGGGTATTAATGAGGAAATTTATTTGAAATTCAAATATTTAATTGAATTCAAATAAAGACCTTTCAAAATTGATATGAGTTATTTTATGAAGGTAATGGAGGGTTTGAATTTTGAAATTCAAAATTCATGGAAGGTTTTAGAGGGGCAGTTCGGCGGCTAGGGAGCCATGGAAGGCCGGCGGGTGGAGAGGAGGTGGGTTCCGGCGGGTTGGGCCTGGGCGTGGGAAGCCGCCAGTGGAGGGGAAGGGGAGGGGTGAGGATGCCGTCGGTTTGGGAGAATGGGGAAGGTTCAGCCGGCAGGTACAGGAGGGGAGGAGGGAGGAGGGAGGAGGAAGAAGAAAAAAATAAGGGAAAACCAAGAGCCAACTAATGGGGGGTTGTTGGGTATTTCGTTGGCCTCTCCTAGGCTTCGCCACTCACTCAAAAGCTCACAAAAAAGTAGGAGATAGAAATCTGAGAAATTTTCATTAATCATCATTGACCTCATACAAAGCAAAAGACCTTTATATATATGCCTCAATAATAAAGACAAGAAGAAAGACTTAAATGCCTTCGGGGCTACAATAAAAACTCACTACCCATAGGGGTAAAGTAGGAAAACTGAGATGCAAAATAAACAAAACATAAAATACATCAAAAGTAAAGGCTCCGAATTATAGCCGTCGATCAACAATTCCGTCGATGGTACACATGTAGAAATCTCAATCTAATGTCCTCATCAGATCCTTTCTCGACAGAATGCCAGAATAAAAATAGAAAAAAAATTGTGCACACTTTGAGAGAATAAAATGAAAATAGAAGTATCCTTTTTGAAAAACAATGTTGACAAAATGTCGTTTGGGTAAATAATGACTAAAAACCTATCTGGCACAACAAAATATGCTGCTAAATAATTAGAAGGCTCAAGTGAAGTATGTCAAACGATTTAGTAAAAATTTTATGAAGAAAGCATGCAAAAGTATTTGGCATATAATTTATCAAGGAAAAAATGATTACCTAAGGATAGTTTAAGTGCAATAGAAAATCAGGCCTCCCTAACAACCATCGTAAATTCATGGTGCAACTACTCTCCTCATTAACTTTTTTTTTTCTGTATGCACTTTAAACAACCAAAAAAATGAAGTGTTTCTTAGAACTCACAAGGCCTGTGCTAAATTCTCTCTTTTATGTGGTTCTAACCGGAGAGTATAAGGTCTAGAACTGTGCTCAACCGCGAATCTCTTCACCCACACAATATGAAACAATAAAAAAAAAATAAAGTGAATGCTTCAATGATGAGGAATGCTTCATCCTTTAGCTCTAAACTAGCACCCATATCTACAGAAAGGATGAGCATCATCCACCACGTCAATTGGGGTTACTTTTGCTAACAAATTCACCTCGTTAAACTTGAGGACACCCTTTTCCTCCAGATGAAAGTGGTCATGGTCACATAATTATCTTTGCCCAATTCAATTGCATCAACATCAAAAACAAAATGAATAACAATGCCACCAATGTCTAGGAGTAGGTCTGTCAATATTTGACACGACACGAAAACCTGACCCGAACCCAGCCTGAAAATTTTTGGTTAGACCCGACCCATTTCCAAAATGGGTCGGGTTCTGGTTTCCAGGTTCGACATATTTGAAAAATGGGTCGGGTTCGGGTTAACCCGACGGGTTGCCGAGTCAACCCGGAAACCCGTTTAAAATGGTTGCCCGGCTGCCCATGGACTGGCCCTAGGCTGCCCGCTCCCTGCCCGGCTTCCCGCGGAGCTGCCCGACCCTGCCCGCCCCCTGCCCGCGCGGCTACCTGCGTGCCCGCCAAAGCAGCCCGCACCTGCCCAGTGTCGGACGAGTGTCGTGTCAGACACGGTGTCGAACACTGCACGCCTCTTTGAGGAGAAGTGTCGGTGCATCATAGTCTAGGAGCCATCCATGGAATCGGTCAATGAGGATTGTTTCTGCATTAACATCAAAAGATGCATATGCAAAAAAAAGCTAGTGTAGAGAGGTGAAGATTCCACAACAAGGGGAAGGGCCAAAGAAAAAGGGGTAGGTGGAAGAGGTTTACGATGGGCAGGTCAAAGAAGTTGAGAGAGACGTTGTTTCAAAAAATTTAAAGCGTTTAAATCATATTTTTAGTATTTTAAAAGCAAGTTATTTTGGTTTTAAGCAAAAAATAAATGAACAAACTTATTTTGTTAATAGTTTAATTTGTTTTAAAGAAGACAAAAAATCACAAATAGCACTTATTTAATTGCTAATTCATATAGAATGTTAAGTCATAATTCAAAGTAACATATGGATAAATGCAACATTTTAAAATAGCAAATAACCAAAAAATCAACTGTAAAATTATAAGATAAGCGATTATTAGTATGTCAACCATCACATTTAAAATTGATAAAATAGTTATTTATTGCAAATCATGTTGGACACCATGTTTAAAAGAAATTTTTTGGGGCTCGCCTCGAGATGAATGGGGCAGCAAAAAGGAAGAATTGGACTTGTGGGGTGTATTAAGGAATCGCCCCAGGAGCTCATGGCATGTATTTATGCCTCATTATCAAAGAAATAGGCTTATGATATAACTTAAACTAAACTAAATTAAATTTTCAATTTACAAAATTATAATGTGTTATAAATAACTTTCCTATCTTCTGTAGTATAAAAAATGTGAATAAAAAGATTTCTTTTTCCATTTAATCTTTTGATGGCTAAGGTTATCAACTTGACTGCTCTACTACAGGCCAACAAGAACATTCAAGCTGAAAGCTCAACTAGCCTTCATCTCCCAAGCATCGCATGACTTGCATGTTCCTCCAACTCTCTACTTGTTTCACCAAGGCTCCCATGTCAAATCATTACTTGACTTTATCACAGCTCTATGTCTGGATTACTATCATCTTTCTCACATCATGTCTATTATCAAAGGCTTAAGCCTGACCTGCACCACTCATCTTTGTCGCATAGTGGCTTATTGGCGCCACTCTAACATCAAAGAAATTACTTGTCCCATGCTCTCAACAAATTAATAGGTCTCTTCAATGTTTAAAATTGTGCAACTAGTTATTGATGCATTTTTTTGTTCATGAGGCGAGGAGTAAGCCTCAAGGCATTTTGAGGCCCGAGCCTCAAAATAAAATATTGTGTTAAGTGCAAATAAATATTAAAAGTAAATTTTTATATAATACCTAAATAATATGTTAAAAGATGACAAATTATCTTTCTATTGAACTATGAAGTAACACAATGACATATGAAACAAAAAATTTGCACTAGACATAAAGTGTTTAGTGATAAATTGCAAGAAATATAATTGAAATGCAAATATTAAAAGAGAAAAAAATATTAAATATAGGAGCTGCATAATAGTATCATATAATATTGAGTTCAACTTCAAATTATTTCTTTCTTAGCTCCATACTTATCTACATTTAATTTTTAAAAATGGCTAAAAGTTGACAACTAGAAAATCATTTGTATTGTCATCACTGATGGGATATTTATTTGAGTCATCATTATAACAAATTGATTTATCCCCTATCTCATCCTGTGGAGTCTAATGCCTCACCATATGCTTCTAAATTTATTTCAGGCATCTTACTCTTTCATAAATGTATTTAATCAATATAAAGATGAGATTAATACTACAAAATTTTTAGAGTTGATGGTGTTGTGCGGATTTCAAGTGATCCTTGACGACGACTATGAGGGTGATGGCTGTGACGAAGGCGACGGGCTGGATGTTGAGAGGAAATTGTAAGTTTACTTTAGGCTTTCAAGTTTACTTAGGGGTGTACGAAGTGTGATTTGTTTGGGGCATTAATTTAGGATTTATGTAAGTTTTAACATATATATATATATATATATATATAAGGATTAGGCGAGGCAAGCCTCAAGGCGGGCCT